CTATCGAAACAACAATCAGAATAGGAATAATAGTTTCAGTAATAGACCAAATAACTACAATAATAGTAACAACAGTCAGGCTTCAAGCAGTAGAAATAACAATCAAACGCGTTCAAATACACGAAATTCTGCCAATGTTCGGACTTTAAACGCCGAAGCCCCTCAGGCGCGAACACTGGGGGAGCTAGACTTAAACAACTAACGACTTTTACAGACGAAAACTCCATTTACTGCCTAAATCTCAACTATTCCGATTTCATTGAAATAAATTGTAGTGATTCTCACAAACAATGCACTTTTTTAGTAGACTCTCAAGCAGACATTTCGCTTATAAAATTTTCAAGCCTAACAAGCAAATCCGCAATAAGTAGCAATAACATTATCTATATCACGGGCGTAACATCAGAAACGGTCCAAATCTTGGGCACAATAAATACAAATTTGGTAGTATCAGACATTTTCATTCCGCACACTCTTCACGTTGTAAATGACAGCTTTAACATTCCTTCGGACGGCATACTCGGAAAAGACTTTTTAAAAATAAACAAATGCATAATTAACTATGCAAACGATAGCATAACCATTGGTTTGGGGACAGAAAGGATCAGCGTTTCTATTTTTCATGGTACTACTACCGACAGCTTAGTAATTCCACCTAGATGCGAAGTTTTTCGGTTATTTAAGTTGGGTAAATCCAAAAACCCTGTTTTTGTAGACGCTCAGGAAGTTTGTAGTGGTGTTTTTACAGCGAAATGTATCGTTGACACGAAAAACCCGATACTAAAACTAATAAACACTACGGACGAAGTAAAATACGTAAGAAATTTCAATATTCAAACCGAAGACATAAAAAACTTCAACGTTTATAAAATTAACGAACCCACATCTGATCCGAAACGCATCGTAGAACTAAAATCGATTTTAGAAAAACAAGTACCCAATTATGCTAAAAATAAATAATAAAGAAATTGAATGGCAAAAAAATGATTCATTCTTTGAACAATTTTCGATTACAGACTTAAAAATTAGTGGAAACAAAGTTTTAAAATCGTTACAAATTATACTAACAGACCCTGTGGAAACAATAACTGAAGACGACAAGAAACTTAAACTCATGACAATTTACCATAACGACCCGATATCAGGCGGACATTGCGGAAACAAAAAACTCTATGCAAAATTACGTACAAAATACTATTGGAAAAATATGACACGCGATATTGCTAAATTCGTAAAAAGCTGTGAGAAATGTTTATTAAATAAAGTAAAACCCAAAACTAAAGAAAATTTAGTACTAACCCCAACGCCTTGCAAGCCCTTTGACGTTGTAGTTATATACACAATAGGACCCTTGCCTGAGTCCATTAATGGTAATAGGTTCGCA